CGCCCTGTTGTGTGGACTAAGACAGGTATAGGAAAACAGAACATGTGAACCAGCAATATTACCACATATTAAGGTCAAAACATTTTCCCAGCAGTTTGGGGAACAGAGGAGAGGATACTCACCACAGGCAGATCTCCCCAGCTCTCAGACCTTGAACCTGCCTCTGTTTCTCCTTTGCTCAGTGAAGGAGGCTGGGACCACGCACCTATCAAAGTGCACTCCCCGCCATTAAACATAAATGCAGAAACCTGGCTGAAAGCAGTCAACAAAGCAAGGTGGCACCATGCCATTGCCTGGATGGGGGAGCTCCCGGCCCTCTCCAGGGCATCTGTCCCTGCCTCCCACCATGCTGAAGCCAGGCTTCCCACCTGGCGTGGGATGCTTCTGCTCTCACCACGCTGACCACTGCCTCCCTCCAAACACTTGTCCCCAGAGCCAGCCCTCTTGCAGGAGGCCTCCACCCCAGGCAAGCATCAGGAATAACCAGTGGAGTCCAGTCCCCACAGACATACAGCGGCTGTGGACCACGTGCCACCACCAGTAATTTAAAAGCTCAGCCCATGTCTCCCACCAGCTTGGCCCCTGCGGCCCCTTCCCGCTCACCACACTGAGGGCAGTGAACTGGCCTGGATTAACACCTTGCACACTCCAACAGGAATCCAGTTTGCAATTTCTAATTTAATAAAACCCAACCAGCAATGATGCATTTGCTGCTGTGATGACAGCAAGCTTCAAGCAGCTGCATGGTTATCGAGTCTTCCAAATTATATAACAATTATATATGCTTACATTAAAATTACCTTGCAATCTCTAGATTGCCTGGCAACACTTTTCCTTCAGCGTGCACGAACGGTGCACTTTTCTTAATTACATAATAATAGCCACGCATTTACCCAGCAGTTCTGAGAACACCATTTTTAACTTTCATTTGCTAATAAAATAAGTAGTTACTCAACAGCCCAAAATAAAGCATCCTATTGTTCCTCTTGCTGGGAGTGCTTGGGCATCCTATAATTTAATGCCCAGCTTCACTCCCTCTGCCTAGGACTACCCACACTTTACTACTACATTTTTATTTTATTTTTTTTTTTACTATCTTCTAAACTCAAAAGTTTCCTCTGAGCAGGAACTGTTATGCCAGCAGCATCCAGCACAGCACAGCTTGGCTCTCCCAGCTGAGGCATGCAGGTTCTGCTATATGAATGTTAATGAGAAAAGAAAAAGCTCCAATCTTTGCACTTCAAACTCTACTGAAAAACAGTCTTGAGTTTCCCATTCATATATACATTTCCACCAACTTTCTGGGGTGACCTGGCTGATTTTGGCAGCACCTGGAAGCATCTGGACTGTCACAGACTTGCAAACACTGACTTTATTCCCACCCACTGCTTTTAGACAAAAAATGAGGTGGTGTTGCATTTCTATGTGGAGATGGACCAGGGCACTGCAAACAACCTTCCTCTGCCTTGGCAAGGTCCATCATGCTCAGAGACTTGTTCTTTGCAGGTATTTGAAACCAGGTGAGTCTTCAACAAAAGCTTTGTAGAAGTGAGGGGCTCCGAGGAGCTGCTGAGCTTGCAGGGGCCACTGGAGATCAGCAAAATTAAGGCAGACATGGCTCAAAGCACCGTGGCTGCATGAAACAACTTTTGAGTTTGATGCAGCTACACGTTGCCTTTCTGAAAGCACATTTGAAACAATTCCCTCTGGTTTGTGAGAGAAGCAGCTATTTATTTCCTAAGGTTGAAACAGCTGGAAAAAATCTCACCTTGGATCAGGGAGGGTGACGAGCTCTGCCTTGCACATGCCTGACCTTTCACACTGCACTGCTCATTGACTGGGGATGACAATCACTTGCTCAAGTGCCCTTGTCCCTCCCTCCACTGGCTGCCCTGCCTTCAGATTTGCCACCAAAACCATGCATTTGCACTGTCAAAGTAAGCCAGGCTTATAAAAGGTGACCATGCCTGAGAGATGCCAAGCTAACCTAGATCAGTCTCTGGGAACCTGGCACAGTGCGGCTGCCTCTGCTGTCAGGTCAGCACAGAGAGAACCTCAAGGACAATGTGCATAAGCTGCTGGAGGGCAGACGAGGATGGAAGAGGAGCCAAACCAAAGGCCCACCTACGCCAGCACCTCGTCGCCTGCCAGGGTCAATAGCTTGGGGAAAAGCATCAGGCAGAGAGATGTAACCTCCAGCACCCACACTCCCTGCTTCAGGCAGCCTGATGGCAAACTCTGCCTGTAACCATGTATTTCATTGTTCTCGATGCTCTTTTCTTCTACGTATCTGTCTAATCACTTGCAGCCCCGTTTAGTTCTGACACCTGCTATCTCCCCAGTGCTGAATTTCACAGTTTAATTACATGCTACATGAAAAAGTAATTCCTTCCAGTTTAAACTGTTTACCTGATTACTTTGTTTGCTACCCCAGAGTTCTTGGGGTTTTAGAGACAGAGAAGATTCATTCCATGTCCACCACTTCCCTGACACTTCGGATTTTATAAGCCTCTGTCAAACCACCCCTTCCCATGATAATTTTCAAATCTTAAGAGCTCTGGTCTTATCCCTGTACAGATGATGTTCCATCTCTGTATGTCAGATGTTCCAGGACCATCCTGGTCACCCTTCTCATGCCTTTCTCAGTTCAAGAGCTCTTTCTAAGACAGGCTGAGCCAAGTTGCACAAAATATTCAGAATACTCCTTGCCTGTACCTAAGAGCCCTTACAGATCCAAGTAACTGTACAATGACATTTGCTGGTTTCTTCTCTACTTCATTCCTAATAGTTCTCCAAATCTGGTTAGCTTTGTTGAATGTCACTAAGTAATGGGCTGGTGTTTTCAAGAGAACTATCCAGAATGAAGCCTGATTGAGAACAGCTAATTTAGAGCCCGTCACGATGTATGTATTTTTAGTGTTGTTTCTCCCCTTATGCATTATTCTGCAGTCAGCAACATGAATTTTATCTGCCATTTTATCATGCCATCACTTGCTATCATGGCGCCTTCCTGCCAGTCTTTGCAGACAGTTTTAGCAATGACTATTCAGGGAATAACTAGATGTCATCGCCAATCTCTCTTATTGTACTCTACCCTTTGGTCATTTAGGAATACATTGAACAACCCAGGTCACATTATGGATTCCTGTTTATCTGCACTAATGATTTTTCTCCGTTGTGAAAGCTGTATTCCTACTTTCCTGATTGTCTCGTTATTAATCCACAAGAGGCCATCCAAGCAAAGAGACTTACAAGCTTCTTTATGAGCTACTGTTCATGGATGTAATCAAAAACTATTTGGCAATTGAAACACAATATGGTAACAGGATCACCTTATCTACGTTTGTTGTCTTCTCTGTAAAACCAACAGATCTGTGAGGCATGAACTGCCTCTGCACAAGCTGCACTAACTCTTCTTCCTCATACTCAACCATCCAACCATGGTCAAACCTTTCATGCATCACTGTGCGGGGAAAGCAGCCAACGAGATCACTGAACTCTATAGAAGGTTGTCTACAAGGAAGCCAGCAGAATCAAACAGGCAGAGACACAAACGCAGCTCACCAGCAGTTTGACAATGCACCAGCTGGTACAGGAGCAGTAATTGCAGACCAGGCCTCTCACGGGTACCTCTCACATGAGGTCACATTACGTGGGTCCCTGGCAGCACCCTGTGCATGAACTGCTCCAGTGCAAGCAGCAGATCTGAGGGTAAAGGCAGGGACCTGAGGTGAGTGAGCAGCAGGGAATCTGAGTTGTGCCTTCTGACTTGGTGACAATGCCAAGGGAGCCTTGGGAGGAGTGGGAATGTGCAGTGCAATACAACATGGGAGTAATGTCCAGTGCCACACCACACCAAAGCACCAGGCTCTCTGACCTACACCCCCCTGCATGGTACAGATGTGTCGTGCACTCACAAATGCTCAGCTCTACTGTGCTTGCTACTTTCAGGGGTCTGTCTTACAGAAAAGAAAGCAACCAGTAATTTCATGGTCATCCTCCCACTGCTGGCACAGGTTAAAAGAGAAGCCCAGCCACGAATCCTGCAGCACAAGGTTTGCAGATCAGCAGTGAGTACATGCACCATCTAACAGCCTCACATCCCCTGCCATGGAGAGCAAGAGGTTACACAGACATGCCAGCTCTGCTAGGAGTCCATGAGGGGAAACACCAGCCAGCCCTCGCTGCTCCTCAGGGGCCACGCTCACAAGATACCAGCGCACAGACTGCTCTATCCTGTGTCAATTCAGGGACCCCTCTTCTCCCACCCCTGCCAGAGTCATACCAGCAGGGACATGTCAACTACAATGGGGCCAGAAAACTCCCTGCTGTCATTTACAGACCTATTGTGGTCGCCTTCAGGACAGGCGCTCAACAAAGAATCCAGCCTCAGCCACAGTGGGAGAAAACTTACTAAAAGAAGGTGACAATAATCAAATAGGCTACAAAGAGGAACCATGAGGCTGGAGTCTCCAGTCAGAGCCCGGGAACACCCCTGAGTCACCACCCCCCTGTGGAGAGTACAGCAGCATTGGGCTCTTGTCACCCCACAGCCCTGGGTGACGAGCAGTCACTCAGACTGATGCAGACAAGGAAGCAGACAAGGACAGACACTCTCCCTGTGCTGCCTGCCAGCTCTCCCCATGGCCAGTGCTTGCCCTGCCGAACTAGAGACAGGAATTTGTTCCACCTGAAGCCAACTACTCAGTCTGTGTCACCGCAAACACCCTTTTTCTGGTTCTATTGCCTTCAAAGACGCTCTCCAAAAAGAGATAAATGGAAGAAAAAAGGAAGCTACTATTTTCCTAATGTCCTTCTGAAGGAACACCTGCTCCCAGCATCTGTGATGCTGCCTGGGTAAACCTGAGCAGGGAAACCCCCCGCTGGGGACCTGACTTACTCGGCCGACAGCCTACCGGAGCCGAGAGGCTTCTCCCCAGCGGAGCAGGAGGCTGACGCACGCGCTCCGCAAAGCTGCGCTCCGTGCAGGTGGTACTCACAGTACTCAATGCCCAAGACGATGTCTCTGAAGTAGAGTCGAGCCTGCTCCTCGCTGAAGGGCTGGTCACTCGGTACCTCCATGACAGGCCTGTTAGGAAGAGGAAGAGTAATTAAGTACTTTGCAGTAACACTCCCTGCCAGAGGATTTTGTGCTCTCCATCACCATGTCCCCAGCATCGCAGGCCAGGCTCCCAAGAGGTTCTGGGTGCTGTGATGCAGGATGTAGGTGTAGCCAACCCCTCTGGCCGTGCTGACACCCAGGTTAACGAGCTCATCTAGCAGTGGTGGGTGGCTCTGCACAGTCCCTGAGCCAGCGTGAGCCACAGAGACCTCGCCAACATCAGGATTAACTGCTGCTGTCTGCACAAAATAAGGCAGACACACTTCACTGAGTCCTATGGAAAAAGTGTAGTGAAAGAACAAAACTGGATCTGGCCTTTGGTTTCTTGCTAAAGCTGCTCATGGCTGTGAGCACCAGCATGACCAGGACACACCAGGCAGCAGTGGGGACAGAGTGCCTGTTGTTGTGCACCGCATGTCCTGCCTGCTGGGGCTTAGTCCTGAAGCAACATCAGTGTGCAGCTAGTCTGAGCCAAGTCAGAACCTAGACATGAACAACTGGCTCAAAGGTTAAGTGGAAATATTTCCAGTACACTGTGCTAAACGGCTCTGAAAACCTATTTAGCTGTTTAGGGTTCAGCCACCACCAGAACTCAGCCATTCAGTCCTCAACAGCCGTGGTTACCTGGTCAGCTTCTCTCCCTTCCTTTGTCTGCCACCACTGCCAGGAGACGCACAGTATCCTCTAAAAGCCCCTCTTCTGCCTGTGCCTGCTGAAAGCTGAGGGCAAAGAGGCTGTAAGGGCTAGTCAGCATCTTCTGTTCCCCAGCAGACCAATGACAGGAGCTAAGGACTTCGCTGCACTGGGGGTTAATCCTGCTTGTGCTCGGCAGCTTCACTTTGCATTTGGACATACACCCACTGATCTGGGCTGGATTTAAGTGAGTGCTCCTGAGACACCGCCCTTGCAAGCCAAACTCTGGCTGAGAATAGCCCATCACCAAAACCAAGCTCTGCTGTTCTTCCCCTCAGCACCCAGCAGCAAATCCTTCCTGTAACATTTCTTTCTTCTCCCTTGCTTCCATTTGATTGATGACCTTCATCTCCTATTTGCATTTTCCTGCCACTGCCTTCCCTCCCTCTTCATGTACATTTTTTCTGCTGCTGAAACTAGGGAGAAATAATGTGAGCAGCAGGACTGGCAGAACCACTAATGGAGTCTAATTGCCTTCTGCCAGAGGCAGACAGGCTGCGCTCAGCCAAACTGCACGTTCCCTGGCCACGGCTGATTACAGGAGCTTTTTTTCTCCCCCTCTCCTACAGGACAGTCATCAGCCTGGTCACCAGGGAGACTGGGTAGCCTCTCACCAGCAACCCACTGGAGCTGGCAGGCTTTTTCATTGGGCCAGAGAGAAAAATAAGCCCTTTGGGAATCTCCCCCATCCTGGGCACTGCTCTCCCAACCTTCCTATGACTCTGCAGAGCTACAGAATCAGCACAGGTGTAGCAAAAAGCAGTGAGGGGACTCCTACCACCTTATCACTTCTCCTGCTACAGAAAAAATACAGCAACAAAACAGCCTCCCACAATACGTTAGTGTTAGAGGTAAAATAAAGCAGTGGTGGGTGGCAAGTAAACATTGATGCAACCTCACATCCCCTGTGCCAGGAAAAGCCACAATGTGGCTGTTACCCCAGCCGAATATTCCTTTTAAAACCTTTCTTCCAGGCACCTGATGGGGAACTGGCATCGCATTTGTTTTCTGGATCAAAGCCCAACACCAGGACGTGTCCTCCAGCCCATCACTACTCACCACATCATTCCAGACTGTATCAGCACAAAGGCCCCTACAGCTGGATTTTGCCTCCTCTGTGCTTGCCTGCAGTCAGCGGTTTGCCCCACCACACATATCAAACCTCCATTTCACCTAGGAAGCTAATGATGAACACCAAAAATTTCAACACAAGGGGTCCCAAGAAGGCTTACTTACCCTTTCCTCAGGAGGTCAAACACTGCAAGAAAAGGAAATCAAACCAGGAATGAATCGGAAGAGGGGACTGAGCTTATTCATTTTTTAGCACCTACAAAAACACATCCATTCCCATACCTGCAACATCAATTTACTTCCACTTTATTCTCTTCCCTCACCCATGACAAGGACACCAGAAGATGCAAAATGAAAATAGTAATCTCTTCAGCAAAGACAAATATCCCCACCTCCTACCAGCAACACACAGGGAGACAGCGGGTGCTAATTTATCAGCAACATTTCTGCTGTTCCCAGTGTCAGCCCTTGCTGATTTGAGCCCTGTCTTATTCAGTACCTTCAGGGAGGGTGTTTGGTGCGATATTTCTGCTAAATTGCCGATACTGAATGAGATGCTGTAAGAACATGTTGCTCCATTTCTGCTGTGTCAATCAGCAGCACGGCTACATGGCTGTCAGAGGTAAATGCTCCCTGGCAGTAGCAATTGGAGGGGACTTAGTGTGAGTTGAGGTTTATAGAGCACGTGAGTTTTGTCTGATTAGGGGGTTTGTGGCAATGTGTTTTTCTGATCCTGTCTCTTACCTGTTCCGCAAACAGAAGGATCTGCCTTTGCCTAGTAGGAGAGCTCTTTCCTTGTGAATTACTAAGGGATTTCTTGCACCTCTCAAGAAATTCGAGCAGATCACCCTCCCCAAAGCACCAGGCAGCCCTGCTTACAGCTGTGATGTCAGACCAGCTGAAGGTACAAACACAACAAGCCAGCTTGCATTGGCTCATCTTGCTCTCCACGCTAAAGAAGCTGCAGCTTGTGGCAGCATTTCATTATTCAACCATCTTGTGCCATTGGCAGTTATTCAATTTCTATCAGCACCCTCCATCCCCTGCTTTCTTCCCAGCGAGCACAGAGCAGAGTGCTCACAGCAGCACTTAATGCCAGCAGTAATTAGCAAAGAGCAAACTCCCCTTTCTCTAGTTTTGCTTTGTAGTGGGGGACATTTCTGGAAAAAGAGAGGTGCAGTAATCATCATCTGGGTCAGCAGCAGGGAAGAGGAAACCCACTTGCAGAAGGCTCAATCCTGAGCAGTGCTGAGCGCCCACAGCTTCCCCTTGTTGCCTGCATCGCTCTGCCTAAACCACTCATGGGAGCCCAGGCAAAGAGGAGCAAAGAGGTGATGGGGCACGGACAACATGGACACAGCCACCACTCGCTGCCAGGGACCAGTGCAACCTCCCAAATGGCACCAAGAGATTTCCCACTTGTCCTGCTGCTATTGCTGCATTTCTGGGACTGTTATCTTGTTCCACAGGGAAACCTTGGGCATTTATTTGTTTGGGTTTTTTTTCTGCAGCTTTTTCACCTTCCTCATGCATTTATTGTCATTCAACAAAAAAAGCTTGCTACCTCATCTCTCCCCTTCTCTCCATCCCCAGGACTTCAAGCCTTTAAACAACAGCCTCAACAGTCCTCCTCACCACACGTGCATCTGCCTTGGCTGTCGCTTTGCAATGCTGCCAGAGTGCCACCGTGGCCTCAGCAGAAAGGGAAAAGTGCCCTTTCAAAGGCAAATAGCTTCATTTGCTAGGCAGAGCCCCCCTTCACAAGCAGCTTCAAAAGCATTCCATAATTATTTCATGAGAAGCAGCCTTTGAGTCTGTCTCATCAGGAAATGTTATGGGGAAGCAGAGCTGTAATAAGGTCAGCCATCCCCCTCCTCCGGCCCATCTCTGAGGGCACCTCAGCACCTCCCAGGCCTGTCCCTCCAGGTTTTGCCCAAATGGGGGTTAGGCTGTGGCTGGCACTTCCAAGGTTTGGGGGAGAGGAAGACAAAATGAGTGTAAACTCCCCACTCTGCATAACTGCAGAGTCAGGTGTGGCCTCCCATCTGGGCACCCCACGGCAGGGTCTGGGCTCAGAGGCCAAAGGCAGCAGTGCTGCTACCTCAGGAGCTCCCACGGGTGGAGAGTGTCTCTGCAGGGGTCACAGGGAACACCCTGAGACAAGACTGCTTTCCAGAGTCACTACCACCATCCACAGCCTAACAGGAAGAGTCTGGAGAGACCAACCTCATGCCAGGAGGACGAGAAGCCATCCTGCACCCTTCCCTTCCCTCCTGGCTCTGGGACTGGAACTGACATGTGCACAGAGGAGGCCAGAGCCACTGTCGTGTCCTTTTAGTGTCCCCAAGGCAAGAAGCGGCGCACAGCTGTACTAAGACACAAGGCTGTCTTACCCTACTGCAAGGGGCCCTTCCATCCCAGTTGCCTTTACAGGTGTTTAACTCTTCTGAAAAAATAACTGTGCTGAAGTTGTTACAATTTTCCTCCTGGTATTGACCCCGAGCCCTGGTACATGTTACCTGCATCACTAGGTCTAAGCCCAGACAGTTCTGTTAGCATATAATGACTCACATACCCATGTACAAGTTGTCCTCTGCAGGATCATCAAGGACCTGCAATTGATAACAGAGAGATAAGGGGAAAGGGGAAAAAAGAAAAACAAGAGATTTTTAATCACATAACATTTTACTGCTCCCTGTACACTCTGCTGAGCTACAGATCACTAAGAACAACTTAGGCTAAAATTTAGAGATTCCTGCAGAGCAAGGGGCTTTGAAGGACACAGATATTTTTGTCTCCAGGAAAAACTAGGCTTCTGCCTGTATTTGAAGAACCAGCCTACCCATAAACACACTGCTTGTCTTAATCCGACCTCAGACAATATTGAAAATGGCACCGAAGCCTTGCCACTTGTGCACCTTCCCAGGCTTGTCTACACATGTTTCACTGGTCAAAGCTTGCTGCTATTTCTGCCAGCACAGCCAGCTGCCTCCTCTTGGGCATCAGCCCAAAGCCCAGGATAAGTATGTCAGTTTGCCATATGTAATTGATATGATCTTGCCTGGAATCACCAGCCTAAATTTCTGAACAACTATTTTAAACCAATTTTGGCTGAAGTAGAAGCAGCTGAAGAAAGATCCTTTTGTTGCAATACAAACCAGACTTGTTTCAGTATAGCTTAGGGTGGAGAAGCAGCTCACCTCTATCAGCTTCACAATGTTGACATGGTCCAGCTTCTTTAAGATGGCTATTTCCTGATAGATTCTGTCCAGTGGTGCCATGGGTTTTGGCTGCTCTCCAGAGGATGCTTTTGACCCTCTGGGAGGAGGCCGACCTGCAATTATAACACGGTGAGGAAAAAACTCATTTTTCAGCAGCACCCAGCATGCAGGAATGAACAGCTGCTGGTCCCTCTGCAGAATACCTCCAGCTATTCTGGAAGATCTCATCACCTTGTTATCATCCCAAAGCATTACAGTCTCCCCCTGAAACTGAGATTTCCAAGCCCCACTGAGACGATCTCCTCCCAGTTTCCCAGCCTGGTCTGTTTGCCAGGTCCCATGGCCCAGCCACTGAAGCTGGGTGCTATCTGAGAGGGTAGAAGAGCCCCTGGGAGGAGAGGATCTACCCTGACTAACTTCCAGCACTTAATTAGGCTTTATAGATTGTGAATATGGAAGTGTCAGCACTTCAAAGAGACTCAGAAAATCACAGCCAGGAACCAAGTGTGTTGAATTTCCCTGTGGTTGTGGTGCCTGCTTTCACTACCCACTGCATTTTAACCAGCCCCCACCTACTTGGGCAGCTTTCAAATGAGGCCAAGTTTTGCAGTCCTTGAAGACAACATTTCTGCAGAAAGATCTGCCTGGCTGAGGACAACAGGCAGACCTCTAAATGTGAGATACTCACGTGGAAATCCATACTGCTTCAAGAGCTTCTTTTTGGAGAGGACTTTCATAGCCTGAAGGAAGGAGAAAAAGCAGCGTGAAAACTGAACAAGAGCCAACGTGCTCATTGCTGTGACCCGGGAACATGCTGGGCATCAGAGACTGCCTCAGGTCTGTTCCTCAACCTAGAGAAGTCTCCTAGTTAGTGGTGGCCACAACAGACACACACGCTGACCCAGGCTTTCCTAAACGTACTGCTAACCATTTGTTTCATTCATCCTTTTCCCATTAAAAAAAAAAAGGCTTTATTTTAAATTGGGCAAAGAAAAAGGAGCACAGTTTCTGCATCTGGTGCAGGAGCTTGATAAGAGTGGTAGATTCTGCTACCTGACCTTTATGTATTTGCTGGTTTGGATGATGCTATGGCCATGCTGCAAGTCTGAGCCACTTCCAGGCTGCTCCACCTTTACTTTGCCAGAAGTTCTAGGAAGGGAAAGAGCTGGAGTGTCACAGCCATACCACTCACACCCTTTCAACCTACATCACAGACCAGGAACAGGGTGAGGACACAGCCCTTCCACCAGCTCTGCACCATCTGGGAAAGTCTTTTGTATTCTCAGAGACTATTTTTTGCCCCATAAGCCTCTTCCATGCTGCCAGAGCAACACAGAGGACCTGCAGCATGATCCAGCACCATGCCCAAGACACTTCACAAACATCCATCCCCGCACCATCAGGAACGGTGGAGCCAGTTCTGTGCAGAAGCACAGTGAAGGAAGTAGGTTTTTGTCAACAGCTTCCCTCCTTTCTCACACCCCATCAGACGCTGCACCTTTGCAAACCCAGGCAGCTGAGGCACAGGAGGGGGGTCAGGGTAATTTCTTCTGCCATCCAATTGGCATTAGCATAATGGCAAAAGGCAATCTGAATTCAATAAACAGTCTCTGTGTCTCCATCTGCTCTGTGTGTTAATAACCTTTCTGAGGGCCACTCAAACAGCCCCGAGTGGCCCAGCAGATAAATATTTCATGAGAAATCAGTTCATGGTACAATTTGCATAGGAAAACAGTCTATATGCCCCCAGGAGCTGGGACAGTCACTTGCTCCTTCCTCTAGGATGGGTAGTTATTCTTATTAATTAAGCATCCAAATCTGTAATTCACACTGGAGTGACCCCTGTTAAATATAATTAACCAAGGACTCCCACAGGACATAGTCAAATACCAAGGAATTTTACATGAATACCATGGAGGCAGGCTCTGCATGCTACCTGTTTTTAACATGTACACCAGGAACAAATCACTGAAACCACTCCGGTGAGCTCCTTCCCAAGCTGTTTTTCCTGGCAGCGATGCTACCACATGCCCCAGGATCCCCACCTCCTGTCAGTGCTCCTGCTGCAGCCAGGTTCACGGCTCACTGAAAGGATTGTTATTTTTGGTACTGATCCAGTGAAATCCTCTGGATTTGCACCCGTGTAATTGAGAAGAGACACTGTGTAGTTCTCAATCCTGCCTGACAGCTCCTGAGCCAACTGTTGGAAATGACGGTGTTGAGAGACAGACTCAGAAGTGCTTATCTTTTACTTAGCACAGCGCTGTGTCCAACCGAGACAGCCAAATGATTCATGGTCTGCTGAAAGAGGATCCAAGATGTGCACAACCACCTCCAAAGATGGCCAGAACCAAGCCTGGAGAACTTCCTACATGACTCACTTTTATCTCTCCATCATGAAAATTTATGGGAAAAAAAATCAAAGGAATTCATACACCTATTTTTCTTTCAACCAGTACCACAGCCCCGGAGAAGGATCCCCTTGTGTCAATCCCATCTTGAGTCCTCTCTGCCTTCTGGCAAGGAGATTCATAAAAAGAATAAAGAGAAGATGCAATTTGCAGCTGAAAGCTCCCCAGCTGCATCAATGCTTGAGGAACCAAGCCTGAGGAACTAAACTATCACCACCAGCCCTGACCACATCAGGCCAGTCCTTCCCAGGGCAGGCTCTGGGGAGAAGCTGGAGGGAGCAGGATAGTACAGTGAGCAGCAGCAGCAAAGACAAGGATTTCTCTCAGGGACAGAAACGGAGGGAACAAGAGCAACTGCTGTCAGCCAAACTACTTGAAGGTTGCTACAAGGGGCGATGGGGAGACGAGTGGGGATTACTGTATCATAGGTGGGCTGACTAAACCACCTCTACTGGGATGGAAGAAGCACCAGGACACACTTACACCAACATCAAGGCACCGGTACCTGCTACTACACAAGCAGGGCTGGATCAAAGGGTCTGTCCCACTGCACTTCCAAATGCAAACAGGGGGACGAAGAGCAAACTTCTTCACGCATGGGCCAGAGCCACTTTATTATCACAAGAGCAGAGAGGAGAGCACATGGCAGCAAAGCTTCACTTTAATTACAGCGCGAGCTGGCAAGGCAAGGCTTCCTCGGTGAATTGAAGCTGTGCATAACGGCAGCAACACAGGGATGCTTCAGCAAACCTCTCCTTCCGGGCTCACATGCATGAAAGAGCCAAAGACATTTGTACTCACTGGCAGAGCTAATTACCCAGATAATGCCTTTCTGATAAAGAACCAGCTCAAGAGCCAAGCCAAGGGATTTTCCCTTTGCACTGGCAAGCATTGCTTCAGCTTCCTCAGGAGAAGAGGGCACTGAGATTTCCTCCACACATGCCCTTGCACCCACCTTCCTTCCGACAATTCACTCAAGGACACAGGTCGTGACACTTTCCTTTGAGAGGCAGTGTGAACTGTGTGCTTTCCTTTGATGTACATTTACTATCTAAGTTTACTGCGCTCTTCCTAGCAACCTTGCAGCTGGAAGCCACAGGGAAGCTGCTTCGTGAGGATGCCCGAGTGAGAAGATCCCAGGTTTACGGGATGCAGGTTTCACAAGAGTGAGACCTTGAGCCCACATCCTAATGATGGTAATGACAACAGCAACATGGCAGGGCAGGGGACAAAATGATTGAGCCAAGGGAACTTGTCACTTGTCCCTTGTGATGCTCTCACAGAACTTAGGAGGTCATTTTATTTGCTAACAGGGAGATTTGCAAGGGCAGAAGTCCTGTGCACAGTCCCCACCTACAGCGGGCAGGGGAGTGGGATGTTGCTTAAAGGTCACTACTACCCACCTAAATCCTCTGCTAGTGACAGAGCTCTGCAGTAGCACTGAGCAGACCAGAGCACATTTTCAGCCCTTCCTCACCTGTCCTGTCTGAACCACAACATCCCTCAGACAAAGTGGCTAAGAGGGAAGCACTGTCGGGAGAGAGGAGTGCCACATGCAGATGAAAGTCTATACCAGAAAGGCTTAGCTGCCATACCCCTACAGTCCTGCTCCTGCATTTGTCCCCTTTTGTTGCAGACACCACTTGTCACGTTGGCAGCAGCAGCACATCGGCAGGCTGTGCCCCATCCACGCCACGACGCCCCGGGCTGGCAGCAGGGCAGCCGGGATGCCTTCCCAGAGCAGCTGTGCTCGCCTGCCTCCAGCTGCCTCCCCAAGACTCCTGCTCTGACCCCCAGTGACCCCGCTGCTGAACAGCACGGGGTGTTTCAGTAAACCAGAGATCATTTCCCTGGTCCTCACCGCACTGGAGTGGAGCTGACAGCAGTTCAGTAGCTGTTACATTGAGCAAGAGGGTGAGAAACATGGGAGCTGTTCCTTCCCTTCCCCGCTGTGTGACAACCAAAGTGGATTTTCCACTGGCTAGAAAGTTCAAGGCTTGCTGCTGACCACCTTTCCCCCAGCAGCAGCACTTTGTTCAGCCATCTCTTTTCAAAAACTTGGAAGGAATTTCTCCTCATCATTGAAAGCTGGTAGAAAACAGCCCTCCATGCAAAGGTTGTTAGGTACAGAGGCAGAGAGCACAATCGCACAAATCTTGTTTCTTAGGAAACCAGATTTAAAAAGAAAAGAAAAAAAAAAGAGAAACCCACTGACAACCTACAATGCTATTGCTTTTGTCCAGAAGTAGCACAACAAATGTCCCTCATGACCACTTTTCTTTGCAAGATAATTTAGAGATTGAAAATAGGAAGGAGACATGACCCCAGGCATCACAGAATCAAATTCCATCAGCACAATGACTCCAAACTAGATCTCTGCCTGGACACATTTGCCTTTGCTTTTTATTTGCTGCTTTTTCACAGAGCTTGGCTTTTTGGTTTTTTTCCCCTCCCTGTCAAGCATCTCCTGCAAACTGAGACACTGAAACCTTTCCAGCTGTAAAAGGTTCCTTGGCAGAGCCCCATGAATGCTGCTGTAGCAGCTTCACATGTCCCAGCAGCAGCAGGGACCGAGCACAGTGGCAGGGTCCTTTGCTCTGGGAGCCAGCTCTGCATCCCAATAGGGTCTCTTGGAGGGGGCACTGCGTCATGCACTTGGTGCTGGAAGTTCCATTTCTCTGGGCTAATACATCGCCTGCATCCACTGATACAAGGCAGCACACTTCCACAGCCCTCCACAGCACTGTGGTTGTTCACAGCAACAAAGGATAAAGCTCTTGGAAGCACTCGCTCATCTTTAGTGGAAGGTAAAAAAAAAACAAAACAAACCACAAAGTAAATACAACCCATCTACATTTTTCCCAAATGTAGTGATCAGCTTTTTTTCTTGAGAGTTTTTCCTAAATCTAGGCCAGATCTAAAAGTCATTAAAGCAATAGAATTTTTTCCTTTTACTTTGACAGGAGCTGGATACAGTTCCTGGTACCTATAAACCCTGCATTTATGAAGAAAGCTAGCACAGGGCCCCATGCCTCATCAAGATTCAGGAGTCACACTCTGACTTATACTCCAAAATACAAATTTTCATCTTTCTTTAAAGTTTTGCTCCTTTTTATTGCAGCACACTAACTTAAAGAAAACAAAGCAGGCAGCAACACTGGGGCCTCATGCTCAAACACTGCACACGTGAATCGGTTATTAGGGGCTGCTCACTAAGGGCCAACCAAGGGCCGATTTCCTACAATTATCTGTTATTGCTTATTACTGCTGAGACAAAATCAGCCCTCCAGAGCTAAATTAGAGGAAAACTAAACAGAGAGAAAAGGCCCTCCCCAGCTATCAGAATTGCATTTGCTTCTACTAACTGCTGGTAACAGGCAGCTGCAATGGGTATCCCCTGGGTGGTCGGGGTGCATTGCTGCAACGCAGCCTTGGACAGGAATAATGAGCAAAGCAGGATGGAAGTTATCTTGGTGCTGGGAGAGCACGTGGTCAGACACACCAGGAGGTGTGGGGAGCTAAGCAACCGTTAGCCAGTTAACAGAATTTACTTGGTTTTTCTCTGCAGCTTTAAGAGGTTTGCCAGCTCCTGGGCTGTTTTAGCATCTTGGAAAACTAGAGGTCTCTCCATCATGGCTTGCCTCCCTGGAAAACACAAGCAGAGGCACCTGGAAGAATTAGGGGCCACAGTCTGTCTGCTTGTGACGGCAGCTGGGAAAAGGGGAAAACTCCCACTGTCCCGGCCTAAAGGGCAGCAAGCACGAAACACAGACCTTCATATCCCAGCCTGTCAGCAGCAGTGCAGCCACCTGCCCTCTCCTCTCCCATATGCTGATGTTCACTGCAAAAAAACACAGGTAGACACTGCCGATGCTCTCGTTCTGGTCCCATCTCTCCATCTGCTGTAGCACTCCACACACCTCCCAGGATCAGCTCCACAGCCCCAGGGTTGCTCCCGAGATCTAGTTCAGACCCTGCCTCAACCCCAACAGGAGGATTGGGGTGAGCCAAAGAGCGTGTCCCTGCAACGCTGGGCTCCGCGCGCCCTGCGCCTCTTCAGGTAGGAAAGCTGAAACAGAAGTGTCAGGGCATGGGAGCCACTCTTGGGCTGCAGTAGCTTTAAAGTGTTTGCTTAGATTAGAAAAAGAAATGGAGATTAAGCGGGGATTAACCAACATATACCAGGCTAACCTAGACACAGGCTTTCACTTCTGGCTTTGATTTGACCAGCTAAATCTACATCCACGGCATTCACCCACATCCATGGACAAGAAGGCAGCAGGCAATGTCAGCCTAAACCCAGCTCTCTCTCGCTGAGCTGTGACCATTGCCCTGCCTGCCCTGTGCAGTCTGCAGCACAGCAGTGGGATTCCCAGAACAAAAGGGCAGCACCAAAATGTAAATTTTCAAATAAAAATTACAATTTTCAAAGTAAAAAATATTTTCAGCTGGAAATAAATGTGATGTGTTCCCTCTCTGTGTTGCTGGTCCTGGCACTCCCTACGCTGGCGGGACAGATGGATCAGGGGAGCTACAGCTGGCACCATTGCTCTGCAGAACAAAACCACCCTGCTGCTGGGCACAGGAGGGAGGACTCGAGGGCAGCGGAGAAAAGGAGCTGTCAGAAGCAGCAATCATTCCAGTGCGGTGGGTGAGTCAGCTTGGAAAGCACAGGGGATGGAAAGAATTGTGGTTCCTTTGCCTGGCCAGCTCCGGGGCACCTTATCCAGATTTCTGTCTCATCTCTTCCATCCTTCATTTCAAGACATTTCTCCTGCAGTTTCATGCCCACTGGAAGTGCAGAGGGGGCAATCAATACTAACAGGCACACGTCCCACCTGGTCCCTCCAGCCCAGGATGTCACTTGTAAGTTCAAGAGTCAGGGAGGAAAATTGAGCTGAGGAGCAGCAGGGAACGGGCACGCTTTACATCTCCAGGGCATATTCTTATTCTCCTTTGTGCCAAGAGCAAGAGCTCTGTGCACTGGGACAGGGAGCAGCACACGAGTCTGCCCGGGTGCTTCGATGGGCCCATTTTCACTCGTGTGAGGACACTCCACAGCAGCAGCACCAGCAGGACCCCTCCCACGGTGCGGAGCAGCAGCTGAAGCACCGGGCCAGACCGGCAGGGCTGTGTCAAGGGGAGCGGGGCTCAACAGCACTGCAGCCCCCCAGCTCTGCTCAGCAGGTACCTGCCCTGGGATCCACCAGATCCTGCTGAAAGCTGTTTCCACAAGCTTTCAGGCACAGCCACACACAGTAAGGCAGTTTTGCTTTTGCCAGCTGTCCAGCTCCTGCTCTCAAGCCTGAACAAAACGTGCCACAGGGCCAGCCCAGGGACATGAGCACATCCGCAGACAGCTTTTGCAGGAATCCAGCTGGGATGGCTGGAACTTACCTGCTCCTGAAAGGGGAGGGACAGAGAAAGAGCCTTCAGCATAAGCAGCCTTTCTGAATCTGAAATCCTCCAACTCTGATTTCAGCTCAAAGGATTTAAAAGGCCAAGGCTTGCCTTCTGCCCTGCACCCTACACCTCAGACTGGACAGTGAGGTGCTGTTCAGCGTACGGGGAGGCACCCGGCAGCAGGGTGAGCCAGGGGAACCAGGCACTGCCCAGCTGGACCACGCTATTCAGCATCTTTCTGATCCTTGTTTCTTTACAAAGCATGCCTGCTCATTCCAAGCTGATCTTCCAATGCACAGCAGGTGCTGAATACCACCACCCACATGCCTCTAATTTCAGGTGACCTGCTTCATAGCTAGAAAATGTCAAGACAAATCAGTGATACACTCCTGCAGCCTGCCTCCAAGATCCCTGCCTGTTATATAAGGCAGCCCACCCGGTTTCTCTCCCATTCAGCACCACACGCAAGCAGGCATGAAGGCAGCAGCTCCATGCCCGGTGGGGAGGTTCGATTCCTTGCATGTTACCCAAATCAGAAATGCATATGTTAAAAGCAGCAAGGCAGGGGAGACCTAGCTCTCAGGGGGGCAAAGGGGAATGAGGAACAGCAGCTGCAGCAAGGAGTGGAGGAGAGAGACACTTACGTAATACTTGTCATCATTCTCGTTGTAGGCTAGTTTCACAACACCATAGGAACCCTAAAAATAAACACAAATTGCACAGTCAGTTCAAGAGCTTTACCTTGTCTCTTTGCTGCTCAAGGCTGGTAGACTGTGGCCTTACACAGGCAGAAAAAAAAAAAACCTTCAAGGTCCCAGGGGCATGCCTGACCAAAGTCAGCAGGTACATTTTGGCAGTTCTGTTGAAGCCACGGGGCATGTGAAGATTAACAATGTCTGGAGGAGTTGAGTGTTAGTCCATCACCTCCTGCCCTGAGCCAAAGCCACCGTGTCTGTCCTAACTCAAACATGGATGGGGAACAGAGAGAATAATTTTCAAGCAGATCTTTTTTGTGCAGGTTTGTAAAGACCGTTTTCAGCACGAAACCTCTCCATCTCTTGACAGCAAGTGGACTTCAGTGAGGACCATCTGCCTGTTTTCCACTAACTGCATGTTAGCCAGGCAGATGCAAACCTTGATTGCTTCTGTATCCACAACTCTGGTGACAGCCTGAAGCCAAACTCCATCCAAATCACTGTTTTTTCACAGTTCTATACATTTTATGCAAGCGAGACATGACACCATGGCTAGGTATCATCCCTGACAGATGCCTGTTGAATAAATGAGATGAACACTAACAGCCTTCAGAACATTGCTCTTGACTTCACTGAGAGCTGGAATGAAGGTCCTGGTTTCAGAGGAGACTGACAAGCCATCTGGCTGATCCAGAAGCACAGCAGGTCTCACAGACCCTCCACCAACCTCAGGGTGTCTATCTGCTCACTGTGACCTGCAGGGAAAGAGGAGGCAGGGGCAAATCCACCAGAGAGAAGGCCTCACACTCTCCTTAAAGCATATTTAAGCCAAAGACAAAAGTCGTAAGTGGGTCTGAAGCTGTGTGTCAGGTTCAGGTGACAAGTGCTGTACCACCAGCAGTGGTATCCCCAGCCTTACACCCGGACTGCTAGGAGCCAAGCACACAGCCCCCTGTGAAGACAGTAAGGGTGTCTCCTCCCACGGCCTGGGGCCTCTCACTTTGGAGAGAAGTTTGGGCTAACAAAACTTTTGGTGAAGGTCTCTGCTCAGAGTGCAGTCCCTTCTGACTGCAATGTACCAACTGCAAAGGTAAGTACAGCTTCCAGTCAGCACCGTTGCTTGTAGACCCATCTGCAATGGTGGCAGACATCCAAATGTGCAGGTGTCTGAATGCCTCACAGTCCAGACCTCTAAATAACTTTAGAGGAATCTCTTCTGAATCATTCTGCAGCTTTAAAAATGAATTAGAATTAAACTAGTATTTCATTCATAGACATAAAAACTTACATTAGTCCTGATGGGGACCAAACACCTGCCCTGATCTTGTTTTTGTTTTCTTTCCTTGTTGGGTTGTATTAATGCATCAAAGGCTCTTAGTGTTACATTTGGCAAGCAAACACCCTGGAAGGGAGCCAGCTTAACCACCTTCAGAGGGAAGGAAAATAAATTTAGATTTCAGAGGAAGTAGTTCCACTTTGACCTTGACAAAACTTACTTAAACTAATAAGGCAAAAACCAAATAAAAAAAAACCAAAACAAACAAAAGTTGCAAGGAGTTTTGGCCAGTGAGGTCGCACGGGCTGGCACAGTCTTTCCACCCATACGTTTGTGTGCATGCAGGCTGCTTGTGACAAACAGGAGCTCCAGTAACATACCTTGCCTATTTCGCTCTGCAGCTTGTACTGGTTTAATTGCACACAGTCCTGCAGATCAAAAGGAGAACATAATTAGAGTATTGGTAAAAGGAATGACTGAATTTGAATCAGTATCAAGTAGAGGCTGAGCACTGAATAATGAAAGACTAAATCTTATTTATACTGGTATATGTTACACTATGAGCACTGCGGGGTTTTTTGACAGCCCAAGACAAAGCAATTATGGGCTGAATTCTGACTCTGGCTGTGCTGGTGTAACACCAGAGGCTCCTCTACCCCATTCCCCAGCATCACTCCAGGTTCAGACAGGTGAGCCTGACCGCAGCCTCCAGCCTCTTTACATTAACCATCCACATTGGCCTGTTCTCAATACCAAGCAGAACACCACCCATCCCCAGCTCCACAGGGCTCTCTCAGCCTGGCAGCTCCCAGCACCCAGGCAGCACCCACGCCAGCCCCGGGGTCACAGCATCATCCCATGCCCTTCCCCACCTCAGCCTGGCAAAGACAGTGACCTTCTGCAGGCCATGCACCGCGGCTGCACCCAGAGGAACCCTCCCCTGGATCGTGGCTGCTCTTTTGAGGGCAACACACAGAGCCAAGCTCCTTTGCTGTGCAACACAAACAATAATGGATTCCCTTAAGCTGATACAGTATTTGCTAAAATAAATCACCCCTAAGCAGGTCTGATCTCTGTTTGCAAGCTATCCAGCACTGAAACGCCAAGGGGTGGGAAGGGGGTGGATGCAGAGCCCCAGCAAGCTGTGACAAGGGGGCGATGACGGGGTGCTGAGTTACTCGCGGAGCAGGAGCAGTGCAGGGGGTGATGGCAACCCCAGGCGTCGGCGGAGGGAAAGCAAGGCGGAACAGAAGAGCCACGCAGTTATCTGATGTTAAATCCACCCCTCCTTTAGTATTGCACTGCCTGAAGGAAAACACTTCCACAGCTTCATTTCACTTGGAGCTGACCCCCCCACCCTCATACTAATTACAAGAAGACCCCAGGTGCCGCAGAAGCCCGGGGGGGGGTCGATGCCAGGAGCGCAGGGTGAGCGGCGTGTACTGCCCACCCCGAGCTGTCGGGGAGCACCCAGGGGACCTGCCTGGCCACCCGGACAGGGTCCGCAGGACAGCACACACCTTGGTGCAGCTCAAAGCTCCTGGCAGAGTCCCAGTGCTCCTGGGGGGAATCTCTGCAGATGCGGCTGTGGAGGCTTTTGCCTCGGTCCTAACTTAACTCCCTGCACTTAACTGCATTGCAGGGGTAAGGAGAGCCCCAAAGACCGGGTGGTGAGGGAAGGGGGGAGTTTCCAACCACAGCACGTGGTGTGGGCTGAGCCTTAGACGGGACACTCTTCCCCAGACAGCATTTATGAATACAGTATTTCTCCCTGAGATTGCCACGCACTAAAGCAGTTTGAAAATTCACATCCAGCCTCTGCACCAGGCACTTCTTTGGGAACAACGCTGATACAAAGTATGTAGACAGATTAGCCTGCCCATAAACCTCAAAATAGCCCTGCAACCTAGAGAAGCACCACTAGGACAGCAAAACAGTGCCAGATGCTTTCAGTCTGTTTGTAAGAACAGGGGGTGCTACAGCCCCAGCCTGTGCAGCATCTCCACAGAAAGTAACACTCCTCTGCCCCTCAGGATGCATTAGAGCATGGATGTGGTAGATGAAAATTTTGACTTTTCCCCATCACCAACCAGAAAAAAGCTCCTAACACAAGCAATCATCACAGTGAAGGAGAATAAAGCAATAGGGAACTGATGACTTTTTAAGCTTGCAAGCAGTGGCTTGTCAGGAATACAAGGAATGATTTAAATCTTGATATTGTTTCCAGTGACGGAAGTTTTTTTCCACCGCCCCGACAGGCAAGAAGAGCCAACTGTGAGTAATGGGGCCATAGAAGTGTATTAATTCTGCTGCTAGCAAAGCACATACCTTTCTAAAGGCAAAAATCAATCCATCAGACCTAGGAGAAAGAAGAGAGTATGACCCAGCAAAAGCCAAGATGTAAAGCACAAGGCCACTGAAGTATATGGAAAAGAAAAACCCCACTGAGCTTTGTAGAAAAGACTTCCCTCCTCAAAGGAGGGGGCAGCACACAGGAACCCAGAATACACGTGGAGGACAAATTCCCCTGCAAATGCTGCATCAGCAGATTCACTTCCCAGCGTGAGGCTGTGCTTTGCATCGAGGTGATTTTCACAAATTAAGCAAGAACAGTTTTCTGTTGATGTCTCCTGCACTGGGTTTCCCCGTGCTCAGCCTGCCTTGCCCTGTGCAAAGCTGCAGAGATGGGGAAAGGCTCCCCAGAGTGGCTGATTGAGGCAGGAGAAGCAATCACCCATCTGAAAAAGCCCCCAACCACCTCAGTATCTCCTGCGCTTCAAATCACCAAGGTTGCAACGACCAGGTCCTGTTTCCAGCCCTCCTCCCCCGACAGGGATTAGCTGCAGGAGTAAACACAGCCTTTTCTGTGCAGCCATAGACTTTTTGGTCTGCACTCAGTACCTTGTTTCAAGCCAAGGTGGCCTCTCTAAAGCACCAAGTTTGCTGCTGCTTCTTGCCACCATGGTGCTTTTCCTTCCCTCCTGAAGGAGCAGAGTCCTTCGGGTGGGATGTAGTCCATCCAGCTGGGCAAACCCCCTTACACAGCATTCAGTGCAACTGAGGAGGGACTATGCCTTGTCCCAGTGTCCGAGGCACCAATTCCTTTGACTCAGACCATCTTCCCACTGGTTCCATGAGTGACTCAGACCATCTCACCTCTGGCTTGAAACGACCACTCTTATCCCACACCTGAAGCATCTCTCTGGCCTTTCACTGCTGCCAAATGGAGCTTGTGAGCAGTGCCAGGACACCTGCCTCTGGGGGATGGTTTTTGAAAGGGATAGGTAAATACTGGGATGGGAACACCCAGAGAGGGTCCGAGGGAGAGGCGATGACAGGTTCTGCAGCACAGCCTCCCAGAGTTTACACTATCACCACATCCCTACCTGATCCACACCTCCATCACTCTCCACGCAGATAATTACCAGTGAAAAGCACTATCATCTTGGCTTCTGCAGTGCTTTGAGCACTTGAGCTGAACGCAGCAAAAATCAAACGAGATTATAGCTACTTTCTACCTTTTTTTTCCTTGCAGAAAGACCATAATTCACAGCTCTAGCAACTCCTGCCATGTGTTGCTGCAGACTGGTAGGATTATTATGTTATTTGGTTCTCCTGCAGGAAGTGGGATAATTGTGCTATTCCTTTATCGGCGCAAAACACCTATCTCTGGGCCAAGTGTTTCTTAAAGATAACATTGTACAGTCCCCTTGAATTCATCATGCCAATGCATTTGCACCTGCTGATAAATATGAACGGAGCAAGAACCTTAATGAGATCCTTTAATGAAAGCCTGTCAGCAAATTAGACTGCTGTGTCCATCCAAGTGTGCAATAATTGTTATGCCTTAAAAAACAAGATGCCCCCATTAGTTAACATGTCCAAGATATTACTCAAGGTGTGTGTGTGTGTGGGGAATCAATGCCACAGAAATCAAAAACTTATCAAAAATCATAAAGTACAGTGAAGTCAAATGTCCAGGCCCAATTCCATAAAATCTACTGCTGTCACTGCTGGGTCACAGAAACTGAGAAATTGAGAATTGAGCCTTTGCTGTCCAGGGGGAACACCGGGGTGGGAAGGAAGAGCCAGAGCTGCTTACCAAAGTAAGGTATTTCTGAAAACAATCAGACTGCCTATATACATATACAGTTGAGAATTCTGCCCCCTAAAAGAAGCCAAATTCACCAATCTGATAAGAATTACAAGTCTCAGACATTCAGAGATACACTTTAAAGAGAAGCATAGAAGAGAAAATTGGGAATTAAGTGCCAGTAATTAAGACAATACTGGTTTAAACTCATCTTGTCTGGAAGGGGAAGTGAAAGTAGTTCTAAAACCAGACAAAATAAAAATAAAAGCTAGAAAAGGGGTATTAGGGGCAGCAATGAATACAAATCAGAAAGTTGATCAGGGACAGAGAAGGACACAGAAGCAGCCCAGACCTCATGGAGCTAAGAAAAATAAACAGATTTTTAAACAACGTCCGAAACCAAGTGCAAAACTGGAAGCCCAGCACCACAACTGGATGCTGGCAGGAGCACTGGCCACTGCTGAGCAGAAAGTGCAACACCAAGGCTCAGCACTGCTGTCTGGGCTCACCCCGCTGAGATCCCAAAGCTGGATGCAGGAGCTTGGGCACCCAAGAGGTCACGGGGTGTGACTGGGAGAGTGGCTACAAGAAGAAAAGGGGGCTAGGACCAGTGGGATGAAGGCAGTCCCTTTCCAGCCCCTCTGCAACTGCTTCTTTGGGCTTTCTCCTTCTCTCAAACCTTAACTTTAGACAAGTTGGAAATGTAACTTTAAATAAAAGGTTAATAAATCCAAGGAAAAGAAATCAGCAATGCTTGTGGGGGATTCTTCTTTGAAGCAATGTTTTTCAAACTTTGATCTTTTCAAGAGAGCTCTTGTTTGACCGCCACAGTAAGATGTCCAGAAGAAATTCGTTTGGGGGACTCAAGGGGCTGGAAGGAGAAGCTCCCCAGCCCATGCTGCACAGGAGCTTGGTCCCTGCTGCTGCCCTGGTCACACCTGGGTCTACCTTTGTGCACAGCAAGGAAACCATGACCTTGTGAAGAAAACCAGGCAGCTCCCAGAGACTGGAGGAACATGAGGCCTCTGTCAGCCCAGCACCAAAGCATTAACTCTCACACCTCTTGACACCAGTTGCTTCAAACCAGTTGGCCACACAAGCAGCAGGCCTATAAGTGGAAAGCCAAAGAAAGAAGGCCAAAGAAGCAATTTATTTTCCATGCCTCTGGGATAAGCTATTGGACATCAGGAGTAGGAAAACTCCCTTTGTCAGCTCATCCTCCTCCTTGAATGTTCAGGCCAGCAGCAGCACTGAGGAGGGAGAACACCCTGGCCTGACTCATCCCCTCCACTAGTGCTAAAGCACACACAGCCCCCAAGCCCCCGCCACGACGCAGGGCTGCCCAGGCAGTGGGGAGCTGGAACACCCCCTGCTGATCCCAGAGGGTGGGGAGACCACATGGACACCGGGACTAGGAGAACAGGGATGCCAGGGAGTGGGTGGATGCAAGGAGAGGAAGGGAACATGTAAAAGAGAAGGACAATTCAGCCAGAAGAGACTGGAGAAGAAAAAGTATAAAGCAATTAAGTGTGCTGGAAAGTCAGGGAAGAAAGCCTGGAAAAAGAGATTCTTTCTTCTTCTTCTTCTAGTCACTTTCTAAGTGAGACTTTTCTTGACTACCTAAAATGTTGGTTTGGGATGGCCCAATTAAAAAAAAATAACAACGCCTTTTCAAATGCCACTTTCCAACAAGCAGCACCTCTACCCATATCTAGACTTGTCAACAGCCGCACCAAGATACCAGCAGCTGCCAAATCTTTGTCCCAGGGCAATTAACTAATTGGTGGCTGTGCTCAGCTGATTGGGAACTGCCCCTGTGCAAGACAACAAGCCCTGGCTCTGCTGCAGCCCTACCAGCCTAGGAGCCACCATCTTCCTAACACACCCCAGAAGCCCCCTCAGAAGGCAGGCATTGGCGGTGTCAGTCCTGGGGACGGGATGGCCTGATTCACCGCCTGCCCGCAGCACTGGCTGAATCCGCCCGCAGAGTCACAGGCTCAGCTTCAGCTCTTGGCCCTCTGATCCATGAACATAAGTCTTTCTCCCAACTTGTGAACAAGTATTAAACAACCAGCATTGAAAAGCTCAGCAGCGTCTTGCTAACTGAACACATGGTTCTTCCATAATTCAGCAAAGAACAACAGAAAATTCACCTTTGCCCTATCTCCATCTTCAGTCTCCCCATAGCACATCTCTCCATTATTTCTCCAGATCAGTCAAGGATACAGAACTGCTGACAGCAAGGCAGTGAGCCGACACTCCTGCTATCACTGGAGAGGCAAAGCAGATTCAATCCTAGATGGCTATCTGCATAACACAGGAAATTTTGATACGCAGCTGTGCCATCCATCTCTGCTCCTGACGGACGGCGCCTGCACATGCGCCACTGATAAAGCCCGAATGCTCATGAACTTCATCTTCATTTTTGCACAGACTGTAACTCAGGCAGCAGCCATGAGCCAGAGTGATGAATGTCCTGCCACCTGAAAGGCACCGACTGATGATGCTGGATACTTAATGCAAGGAAAAAAGAGCAACTCTGAAATGGCTTTAAGCAGGTGAGAGATATGGACTTGAGTATAAATGTGCAGCTTGCCTAGAACAAGATGCTGCGACCCATGAGCTGGATCCTGTCGGTGACTTTCCAGCCTCCCTGCTCACTGAGGTCTGCATCAACAGAAAACTCAACAGCAGCTGCTGCTAGGTACACTATGATTGCATTCCTCATCACGGGGCTGTTTTATCCCACACAGGGCCAAAAGCCTCAACAGAGTCCCTCCTAACTCTCAGAAGCCCTGCCCCTGCTTCCTGGCTCTGCTCAGTCCTCCCTGCCCACACATAAAGCTCCGCTGATTGCTTACAGCAAACATACCGAGCGATGCATGTAACAGAAGATCTGCTCTCTGTTTCGCTTCTGAGTTCCCCGCTGTATCTTGGTTAGCTGCATTGCTCAGATTTGGACTGTCTGTGCCTCTCACAGCCATGAACACAAGGACCCTGCAACAACCACTTAGCGCCAAGTGGTAGGTCAAAGGCAGGATGCTGGATGCACAGGCTGCACACTCACCTTGCTGTCACACACCTAACGCTTATTTCTCATTACTCAATGGCCACCCTCAAACTTTATCCTATAAACAAACATGCATCTTCCTAGTCCTTTTGCTGTTCCTTACAGGATACAGATACTGTCCCTATAAGGTGGGAGGACAAAGCACAGCTCCCAAGAGCACTGCTGTGAGGGTGAGCACCCACCTCTGAAGGCGCACAGCTCTTGCCTGGGCTCCCTTCCCCCTCCTACCGCAGCGATTCTCCATTAATATGAATGATGGTTTCCAACGAGCACAGCTTTGTTAAGCATCTGGGCTGCAACAGAGCAAGACTCTAAACAGTTATATCAAAGTGACCACTGAAAACGCAGCACTGCGTAAAGAATTGCTGTGGGAGCAGGGAAATGAAGGGCTCCACAACTGCATTTCAAACTAAGCACTGCCTACCCCAAGGCAGTAACTACTGCTCCCCAGGATGCAGATGCTATGGAGAGGACGAAGTAATTTGAATTTGCTTGCAGATGGGAATGTGCTAGTCACACTCAACTGCAGCTACTTTGAAACAGATTTCAGACAAGCCTCACTCCTGGCACAGTCAAAGTACTGCAGGATGGGAGAGCTGGCACACAAGTCACGTCCGCTTCCAAGAACTGGCTCCTCTCCCTCCCCATCTCCCTTATTAAAACATACGGCTGCCGTCAAAGCTGCAGCCTCTGCAGTGCCCCTTCTGCAGATACCTTCTTATCGGTCGGGGATGCCACAGCCCATCTCACAGCTAATGTGACTTGCAAAACTTCCCAGAGGACAACGGCTGATTTGCTCATGCACAGCACCCGTCCTCTCAGATATGCAAGATGAAAACACCCACTTTTCAGGAGGGAAACCCTAAACCACACAGATATTAAGCTCCAGGTCACCTGGACCCACACTGGCAAAAGTCTAAACTCCAGTGATTTCGGTCCCTTATGACACAGTGGGATTTAGGCATTGTGGCTGGGACCACCACAGTGCCCAAGAGCAATGTATTGTCAGAGTGGCACTGTGCCATGCTCAGCAACATGTTCCCCATCGACTGCGTGAGGAAGAATGACGTGAGCACTGCTCCTGAGTCCCCAGCAGCTGCCTCTGACCCACTTCAGTGCTCAGGCACAGCCACAAAGGTCAGTTCACTGGGTGAGCATCTGCAGAGAAATGGCAAGGCAAGAAAAACTTGGGGTTTTTTCCCTCCACAAATAGCAGATAAGCTCAGGAAACACACAGCATGGGCTTGGGGGATAATTCAGGTGCGAGTTTGTGTTTTTTCCCAAACCAGCTGCCAGCCCCACAGAGATGACATACCTTCTCCAGTACTCCAGACAGCCCATACCCTACTTAAAATTCTTCCCCAGCCAGTAGCATTTTACAAACCATTTTGGCTTCAAGAACCACCCATTTATACCACCTGCACCATGTCTGCCTTTCAAAGAAAGCCCTGCTGAAGTCAGTTTGATCTGCATGCCCCTTTCTTACAGGCACTGCTGCAGACTCAGCATCTTTGGTGCAAGACCAGGAGCCCCTCTCTCTGCTCCCTGTTGCAGCATGGCATGCATGCCGGTGGGGAAGAAGGCTGGAAAGAAAAGCTGCAGCTGCCTTCCTCCTCATCCTTCCATGGGACAGCAGCAGGGGACAGGTTTCCCCACCTGGCACAACACAGGGAATTGCAACCAGCCAGCCACTTTCATCAACACATTTGACCACTGTGTTACACCTCCGGGACAGGTCTGAGCCCAGGTCTGGTACTGGGAGAGCAGCTGCAAGACAGACAAGCAGAAATGACCACAGCCACCCAGAGACACTCCTCTGAAGGAGAGGTGGCTCACAGCCCTCCATTACCACTGCTGTTACAAATGCTTTAAAGACAAAGGAAAATCCTGACAGGAATAGGAAACACCAGTGCATTTAAGCTCTTTATAAAATTAAATCATGCCTTCAATAATGACAAAATACAATAGGATACACATAATCTCCAGAAGCTTAAATCCACAAAATACCAGCAGCAAAGCTGCTGTGACTGATAAACACCCGAAGGGCACACAGCAGCAACACGAGAGCAAAGCCATGTGGCCACAACCCCATCCCTGAACAGCCTGACAGGCCTTCTGTGTGCTACCAATAGACACAGGGGTTCCAGCCCCTCAGTGGGACTATCCTGGGCAGGCAAGAGCTGAAGGAGCCAACACCAGGACCAGGGCTACACCCAGCAGAGGTCTGGGGGATGGATGTAAAGTTGTTCAGCCATTCCCAGATAACACAATCCCTGGTTCCAGGGATTTTTTTTCGCCCCTTACAAAAAACAGTGCTTTCAGGTCTACTACGCCATAAGGGTGAAGACTCCCACTACCAACTGAAAGACATGCCTTACCTTGACACCACAATTATAAGGGAGAACATGCTTACCTCAGAATCTGATATGGAGACCCGATTGGACTCTATTGTTGGTCTCCTCATTATACGTGGTGATGGCCCTGTGGCATAAGGACCATAACCTGGAGCATTGCTAGATGCCAAATAACCTCCTGATGATCTTTCCTGAAGAGACAACTTCCTACTTGATAGGATGGGTCTAGTGAGAGGTCTCTTGGGAACATGCCTCCAGTGAGCATCTTCTGACCGCTGGGAAGGCAGAAATACATTCATGTCACTGTTGACTCCGTTTCTTTGGATGTCTTTTATGTTATCAGAAAAGACTGTGTCATTTTCTTCAGTGTTGTCTTCACCATTTTGGTTGCTTCTGTCTGGGCCAACAGCCACATCTATGGCTGCCACCCGCTCTGCCAGTTCAGTTTGCGTGTCTTTGCAGCACGTGTCTATGCCTCCATCCATGGCATTTGTTGGAGAGTCCCCCATTGCTGCGTCCAGCTTGTATGGTCTTAGATGGCACTGCAGAGAGCTGTGATGCTAGTGCTCACAGACAACATGGGGCATTGAGGAATCTCTCCATGAAACACCTAAAAGGAAACACAGAGGTAAACAGTAATAGTGTTCACTCGACACAGTCATAACCAAGACAGCCGTCCTCCGGCTTCTTCCAACATAAAAGAAAGCAGAAGCAAAACACTGACAGGCTGTAAACAAGTTGCAAACACTCAGAAGGAAAGGCAAACCCAAGCATCAAGCTAGATATGAAAGCAATAAAGATAAGATTTTATCTGATGTGAACAAGTGACACAGCTAAAGAGAACTTCTTCTGTTGCCAGACCAGTCACAACCAGAGCTTACAATAAAGGGAAAAGTACAGCTTCTTAAGCTGAGGGTAGAGGTTCAAACTTTTGACCTCTTGAATTCTTATTTATAGGGTACAAGAGCTTCTGGTATGTATCCAAAGCCAATGTGCATAACAACAAATCCACAGCCTCCACAGTAGTGTCTCCATTGCCTTGTAGGGCCCTACAGAGTGTCACAGAACAGCCTGGAAGCCAAGCCATGGCTGGTGACTTCCACACTCTCAAGTTATTTGCAAGGCAGCCAAAGCAAAGGCAGCATTTAAAGCAAGTCTGGTTCCAGGGTTGCCCCTGGCCACCCACAGTTGCAGCCTGTGTGCAAACACACATTAACCTCGTTGCTCACCATGTATAAAAGCTATATTGAGTTGCAAATCAACACCACTTAATGATTACCAGCATGTGGGAATTAGCTTTTCCTTTGGAAAAGACCTATAGAACACAAAAATGAAATACAAAGCTAAAACTGCTGAATAACATCACTGTTGCCTGGATGCTAATTTCAGCTTCAATTTAAAACATATTTCAGCCTTCCCAAACCAGTCCAGGGCAGGAAATGATCCTCTGCAGCACATGGCTGTCATCCCTTAATCACCTCTGAAGATGCATTGCTGCAGGATGCATCATCTCATCCCTCTGCCCAGTTTCTGGGATCAGTAGGGGAGCACTTAGTTTTAGTCACAGCATCCTGGACTGCATCCAGTGAATTTCAGTGTAGGCTTAACTGAAATATTGTAACTTTTGGTTCTCTATGTGCAAAGCAGGTTGTGCATAAAACCCCCTGCAAGACAAGTGACTTGCATCACCCTGTTTTCATGCTGGCTACATTTAATTTACACAACGAAGGGACAGAGTGAACAAGTTCAAAAAGCCCCATCCAGCACCAACCTGGGAGCAGGCACAACACCTTGGTCAGGGAGCCAAGCCTGGCTCAAACCTGCCCAGCAATGCTTAGTTAAACACCCTACAACTGAACTCTGCTGCAAAGAGAGACAACCTCCCGAGTCCCCCGCAGAACCACAGCAGCCAAGCTCAAGCAATCTTTTATATCAGTAAGGAAATGAAAGAAAGATCTGTATGGGAGGCTTCACCCTAGGTCAAATGCCAGTCATGGGAGACACATGCCAGGTACTCAGTATCACTGAAAGGAAACATCCAAATGTAACATGTCCCTCCCCAGAGCCTGCTGGTCCCGTCCTGCCCCTCCTTCTCTACTCGGGTATAATCTTCCCCCCTTCTCCTGTCTTTTCTGCAGGCTTGTTTGAAACAAACTGACAGAAGTGTCACTCACTCAAAACAGTAATGAAATAGTGAGATCAGCTTTAAAAGCTTCTATTAAAACTATATTTAAACCCTTCAGTCCCACAGCACAAATCCCTTCCAGAGCCAGGACGCAGGTGCTGGGGGGTGGCTCGCAGCAGCAAGGGAGGGGGTGCAGGGTTCAGGTCCAGCACAAACTGCACATGGTCCCACAAACCCACAGGCGAAGCAACACCAGACTCCCCCCTACGAGACCTCCCCGCTCTCCCAAACCCCCAAACCAGGTTTCACCCCAGGAAGCCAGCTGCAGCCCTGCGCAGAAAGAGACACAGATGTGCGGGGAGCCCGCGGAGGGCTTGCTGTCTGCAAAATGCTCGTGCAAGGTTTGCGCTTGGGAAGCTTCTGAGCTGACTTAGGGGCATCAATCAGGTCAGGGCAACTGCAAGCCTGCAGCCACCCTGCTGTCTCTGAAGTTTTCCTTCTCGCCAGGGCCTGCCCAGCAGCACATTTCCCAACCAGAAGCTCATGAGGACTCCTCGTAGGATGCCTGCATGCTCGACTTGGGGTGCAGGTCAGCACCCCAGGCCCTGGGGAGCACAGACCAGCCTCCAGCCCTGCCTGCGGGGCAGCGGCTTCCCAGGGCTGCACGGCCAGGAAAGCACCAGGCCACACGGCCACCGTCAGCAGCTGCCCTCGCATCACCAGGGCTGGGCTGCAGCTCTCCAGCCCGTGTGTTCCCTTCAATCAAGGAAACTATTTTAAATGAAAGGATGGAGGAAGTAAAAATGCTTTCACCATTTAATCCAACTTGCACAAGGGATAGGAGGAAACCTCTGATTCCACCCTGTGTTAAAAGCCTAGCTTTGCCCTTCTGCCTACAGAGAAACAAACCCACGGCCTTTCCTTGCAGCAGCTTTAGCTTCTGAATAGTCACAGCTTACCTCACTCCTAGGAAGCATCATAAAAAAAATCAACCTGCAACTTGCAGGTCCCGACAGACAGCGATGCTCGTGTTAGCTGCCTGTGCAGCTCTTCACTGCCCAGACCAGGCACCCCGGGGTGTCAACCCATCATATTTGTACAGCTCTAACCCACAGCTCAGGCTGCAAAATAAATCTTCAGCTAGCAACTTTAATAGATAAACTTAAGGTAAACCTCATAAATCAGTTCATCCGATCAAAACAGATCCATACAGCATCACAACAAATAATACAGTGCTAACAGTATGCTAAAAAAAATAATCCAGCAATTGTTCACCTGCAGAGCTATACTTTGTTTCAGGTTCTGCTGTTTTGAAAGATTCCTTTTCACTGATAAATCTTCCAAAAGTGTATTGGAAAGCAGTGATTTCTGAATAAGTACATCAGTTACGCACAGACCAGTCTTACAGTGCATAAAACTCAGTACAAGAGGCAATTATTTATTTCTGCAAGGCAAAATCAATGGTGGATTTGCAGTTTGTCAGGTTGTAACACAATCGCATCATGCTGTGATGGGAAATCCCAGCATAACAGACACATCACCGCTACCTTCTACAAGCTCCTGCACAGCTCTGGGCCCAATGCTCCTCATGCAGTCACCAATCTGATCCCCCCCCAACACCTGCTGTAGATGAGAGGATTATTCTGCAGACATGAACTAAAGCTGCAAACAAGCTTATATGAGCAAAATTAATTTACTTACACATATCTTATTTACCATTTTTCCCTGTAGCTACTCCTCTGCTGCAGGCAGACTGCCACTTCAACGGTGTTTTTCACAATATATTTATCAAATGGCTGCACATGTTTTCTAGGCAGGCACTGAGCAGAGCATGGTACAAAAAACCCTTTTGAAAGGAATAGGATTCTGGAGAAAATCTCTCTGTATTGTACGTGGGAGCAGGAGATGAGCAAATGCAATTAGTTTTGCTGCTCAATAAAGTATTTCAAAGCATTGTTTGGAAAATAAAAAACTGCAAATCTATTTTACTGCTTGGTCCCTCCATTTGGCTAACTAGAAATGTTCCTATGAAAAAGGACGGGGAGGTTAAAAGGCCCTGGGCCTCAGCAAATCCAGCTTCATTTCCTGATTTTGTGACAGGCTACTCAGTAAAGTGACTTTACAGCTTCATCTGTTGCAGTTCCCAGGTTACGAGGGATGACACTGCTCTCAGCCCACCTCGTCCCTCTTCCCTTTTCTGTCCCTGAGAATGCATCTGCCCTGGGCTGAGGTACCAAGGGCCTTTGCAGTAAAATAAGTCACAGTGAATAAAAACTACAGTGGACATTTGCATGGAGAGTGTTCAGGCAGCTGTTTTGCTGCTGTTGAGTTGGAGACTTCTTCAAATGCCCATGGATGGCGCCCTCCCCGCCAGCATGGGGACCAGCAGAGACATCACACTGAAACCCTGTTTGAAGGCCACATCCATTAGGTGCATCTTGACTACACAAGACCCACAGGCACTCTCACGAAGTAAGGTCCCAAAGATCACAGAAGGCTTCAGTCTGCTGCTTTAATATACACTAGCAAGGTCAGGAGGCAGGTCAAGTTTCCTAAACAGTGCAGGCAGCCATGTACCAGGACAGGCTGCCTGCAGAGGGATGTGCTCTCCATCACCAGCATCCTTCAGCTCAGGTCAGGCCCCCCAGCAGGAACTCAGTCCTGCCTTGGGGCAGAGCTGGGCCTGTCTTGTATCCAGCCTTGTCTGGTATCGCCCTGTGCTTGTGTTGTGCTTCCTTCAGATCCACAGCAGCAAAGCCAGGAGGAAGAATCTGCTCTGACTGCTGTCAACCGGCACCAGAAACTCCCTTTAAGGAGAGAAGCAGCAAGTCCCGGGCTGGGTTGCCAAGTCCTGAACAGCTCCTCAAATTAAATTTTTGAAATATTAGGTCAGCAAGTCCCTTCCAGAGCCTGAGCTGTCTACCCACGCCAAGCAATACAGCCTATGACTATTTTCATCACGGAGTCTCTCCTGTGCTCCCTGTTCTGCAGTCAGGTCTGCAGGACTTCCTCGAGCACTCAGCATTAGTCCACTACCCTGACAAGAGGGAGATATTTCCACAGCCCAACCCTGACCCCATCAACTTTTTATACACAGGGGAGGCACTTGCTCAAAATCCAGCCAGCTCACTCTAACAACTTCAGTCTGGAGAAGCTGAAGAGGAACTTGTGTCCCAGAGCCATTCACTGGAGCAACATGTGAGCTGCCAAGAGCCCCACAAGCACAAAGTGGTTTGCAACACATGGCTCTCCGGGTCTAAGGGGCCACTTATGGCTCTCATTGCTGTGGTGGGAGAGCAACTGAAGGGTTCATTTTTGGCGCAGCAATGCAACTCAGAGCATGCTGGCCTTCACTTCAGCTCTGCTCACCCCCAGCACACTGAGCAGGACCCCTGTCCGCCTCCACTCACACTGCTGCTGTGAGGAATCAGGCCTTGGAGAAGCCCACAAGCTCCTTGGCATCTGTGAAGACCACTTTCAGGCAT